TCTACTATACCTTTCCAAAAAAATGCGGGGCTTCCGTGCTATCGAGGATCATGGCAGGACTCGCAATTTATGCGGACAGACACAGGTGCCAGGTCAGTGTTGTTCACGACGTGCTCAACTAGGGCAGCAGCGACTTCTGCTGTGAAGCCACCAGTGCAGGAACTCGACATACGTCGAGCTTTTTGCAGGAACGAAACCTTGCTTTGCAAAAGTGTTTAGCACGCAGAGGGCTCACGAACATGGGTGCACGGTACAATGCAAACCAGGGGCCTGCAACAACTCCTGGCCGACTTGGTCCACACAGCAGTGCCAGGCCATGTTCAAAGAGCGGCTCGCAGTGCTCAGATGGTTGTCATCCGCTTGCACCTGCATTGGCCCGAACAAAGCATCCAGACTCTGGCTTCGAGGTGTCAGTTAGGGCCTGTTAGGGTTTACAGTAGGGGCTTAGGGGTTCAGGGGTTCAGGGGTTCACAGGTTTAGGGATTAGGGGTTTAGGGGTTTAGGGTTTGAGGTCATGATACGTGAAAATAGTGATGCTGTGAGAAGACAACAAGGCCTGGAACGGCTGGGCGTGGTAAAAAGAAGAGCGCGTGGGCACCGGAACTTCTGCTTCGTCGTCGCTCCCTTCTGCTGATGCTCTGGTAACAGACACCCATGACATCTGCAAGGACATGTCGTCATCATCCACAGCAGGACGACTACTCGTCTCACGCAACATGCCCACCTAACCACACATGCTTGTGTGCACGTGTCTGAGCCACGCATACCGAGTCAGGTCGGTTCTGCTTTCTGCTGATTGATGTACGGACTGCACCCCGGACCCCCGCCCTAAACCCCTACATCCTAATCCCCTGAAACCCTAAACCCCTCAACCCCAACCCCCTAAACCCCTAAACCTTAAACCCCTAAACCCTAAACCCTAAACCCCTAAACCCTAAACCCCGAAACCCCTGAACCCCGAAACCCCTAAGCCCTGAACTTGCACGGCTTACTTCTCAGGCTCAGACGCACGGCGGAGCATACACTCCAGCTTGCAGCTGCGTGGCATAGATCTGAAAAAGCTCGATCGGCTGGAAAGCATTGTTGCTTCCATCGTAGTAAACCTACAAACAGGAATTACAGAGCTCAGGCACGGCTCTGAACAGCATGGCAGAATCTGTGGCTGCCAGGTGGCTCGGAAGTGCTTCTCATCTCCCAGCTCGGCCCAGGCACGGGCTGCATACACAACCTGGGACAAGTAGACAGAGCAATGGGACGACAAATGCACACTCAAATGCACTGGCTTCAGTTCAAGTCCGCACTCTGTGTGCCGAGGGGTCACACAGGCGCGGTAAGCGGCCGCTGTCACAGATACAGAGTCGGAGCCGACCTGCGTGAGAGCACGGCTCAGCCATCTGTCCTGCACGAAGCAGAGCATATCACAATAAACACTGGGCAGCAAAAACTCTGCTGACCCTCTGTACCCTTCCTAAACAAGCTTAGAAGAAACCCTTGCCCGTGGCTGCCTCTCCGTCCACGAGACGCTGCAAGGCTTGAGACACGAACTGCCATTTGGCAGCCGTGTCAATGCGGCGGCGCTTTGCATGCAGTCGCACTGTCTGGAGCGGGTCAGTGCAGGCGTGCATGTTCGCGTCCATGAAGACTGCCAGCTGGGAGAGCAAGGACAGGGCGGTCCTCTCAAGCTCTCCCTTCGTGATGCGGAGCGCCGGGTTCGTAGACAAGTGGGAGTAGTGATCTAGGGCAAACGCTATGAAGTCGGCCAGGTGCGGCTGGGTAGATGTCGATCTGACCCATGGTCTCTTGTCAGAGAGCATGTCTACAGCCCATGAAAATGAAACCTTTGCAGCAAGGTATTGCTCCGTCCAGAAGCAACCTGAAAGTCCATCCGCAAATTCTTGTTCGGACCACTCTGCCTGCTCATCCAAACCCCACACCAAGACATGCAGCTTCAGGTTGCACTGACACAAGCGGTCGATGATCCCATGCAGCAACTCATACGTCTTGAAGCGAAGTCTTTTGTCTCGGCCCTGATGTCGCATCATAAACATGATCGCAGCAAAGGCCACAGACGTGCAGACGGTGACAGCTTCATTTTTCCGACCAGAGCTCAGGTTCTTATCTGAAGGCAGTGGGACCATTGCCCCCGGCCATAGCTGCCTGTGGCACTCGGCAATGTCTTCGAGTACCCGCCAGATCGGTGCCAGGCTCTGCTGCTGCTTGTCGAAGAAGTTGCTCATCAAGGTCGCCAGCTTCCATTGGCACTGCTTCCCAGCAGAAGCATCTGCAGTGTAGATATGAACATCACGGCTTCCATCTCCAGCCACACAGAAGGAGCGCAGCTCTAGGAGGCTTGACTCCGCAGCCATGGCCCGAGTGATCCCGAGTGAGTTTCTGAGCCCACGCCGGCAGAGTGCCCGAGCGAGTCTGAAAGACAAAGAGAAACAAAGAAAGAAAAAGAGCAACATAGAAACACAACGAGACTTATAGATACTCTTTGATCTAGGGGGGGGGCTGGGGGGGGGGGTGGCTAAGAAAGCTATGAGGAGAGGGAGAGAGAGAGAGAGAGAGAGAGAGACAGAGACAGGCGCGTGCGCGGGTGGGGGAACTTCCCCCTCCCATAACCCTGTTGAAAGAAAGAGAGAGAGGCGACAGGGAGCAAGCAACGGGAAACATGGTTCTCGAAAGGAAAAGCGAGTTTAGCCAGGGTTTGAGATAGAAACCCTCTACCTCTTCCTACAGCTATATAGCTGTAGAAGCCCTGAACCCTAAAGAATTAGAACCAGTCATATGATGGAGGTCGGCCGGTCCGACAATCACAGAACCTATTTTAATCGCAACAGCAAGAGTTTGCATAGTCGACTCTTCCTATAGTCTACATAATTGTAGTACTCGATCTTTACCAGAAAGCTGGGCGCAGGAATCAAATCGCAGAGATCCGCATCGAGAAGCCCGAGTCCCTGGAGAAGTCTCTCGAAACCTGCCTGCCCTGCCTTTATCTAGGGTTTAAAGAGCTGCTAGGTTTATTTATGTTGGTTTCGGGTACTCTGGTTTGGGGCTTGTAGGGATTGGAGGACATAGTGGGTTTTTATGGGGCTCGGGGTTTATAGGGTTCATGGGGGGGTTGGGGTTTAGGGCCACTGCGTCTATGCACGGGATCGTTAGGTGGTCATCCAGTCCCCGCTTCACAAAATGGATTCAGGACTTAGGGTTTAGCGACTTGGGGTTGCGGGATATACTGAAATCTACCTGCCGTCAGAGGTGTCAGAAAGGCCCCAGAGGCATGATAAAGTAGCAAGCCGTGGCGTTACAAATTTTGACTGAGGAGAAGACGATGACTGAAGCAGCCTTGCTGCAAGATGTTCATCAGTTGCTCTGGGGATCTTTTTATTGGAGGCAGCAGCCGTGTGGCAAAGTTCAGAGCACGTGTGGCAAAGTTCAGAGCACGTGTGGTTGTCAATGCCTAAGTTCCGTTTCAGCTCCGAAGTTGTAGCCTACTGACTGCAAGGAGGCATCACTGTCTCCAGGGATCTTGGCCAGATGAATGGGGCCAACAAAAATTAAAAGGGGACCAGGCGCAACCAATACACCCCAACCTTCCCCTCCCTAGTTCTTTACAGGAAACCTTAAGCACCCAAACTCCTGCACACATCCCTCCCTGAACCGACTGAGGATATGCTTGCCGCAAGGTTGTCGTGTCTTTTAAGGAACCTATAGTTATACGCGGTAGAGGTGAAGGCCCGGATTCCCGCAATTCGATTCTGGAGGGTGAGATGAGCGTGTACTTTGAGACTTGGGATGTAGGCTTCGGCATAGCTCAAGTCCAGCTGTCCGAAAATGTCAGTAGATATGGTGAGCGCAGTGGCGATGGCAAACACCGGACTATGAAGCACAGAACAAGGTTTAATGACCGGGACGAAACGAATGGTGCAGGCTAGTGCTGGTGATATATGGTGATGTGTTTCCTTTGCTTTTACTCGGGAGGCCGGCTCTTGTGTCTTGAGTCTTGATGTTTTCTTGAACCAGCGTGCTATCCGGGACATGTCCGAGCGCAAGCATCAAGACGCTAAAACAAACCCTAAACAAGAAATCGTGGACTTCTCGGCACTTGCATGACGGAGCCGGAGCCCTAGCACCCAGGTCCAGAATCTGCAGAGAAGGCCTGCTCCGGATGCGGGGTTTGGGGGTTTGAGTTTCGGGACTCGAGGGTTTAGGGTGTATTGGGTTTGAGGTTTCCAGCCCGAGCTGTGCCAGACAGACAGAGGTGGCACGTCGTCAGCTAATCATCTTATGCCCATGTTCCAACATTCTAAGCTTCACTATAAGGGGGTGCAGGATTGCGAAATGGGTTGCGGAGCCGGTATAGGAAAGCAGCATGTCGTGCTGATGGAGTTGCTTGTAAGCTTGATGTTTGTATCTATAGCAGAGAAAACTACCGAGTGCAGCGGGATGCTGATCAATGGCAGAGCTTCGAAGATTCGCAAGGCAGATGAGTGAGGTTCGAGAGCAGAGTGCCAGACGACAGACGTAGGGATAGAACATCGCAAGGCGGCAGCGTCTTCCGAGTTGAGGGATCTACGGAGTGGGACATTGAACCATCTGAAAGGTGAATTATCAGCCAAGCCTTTTCAATCTTGCGGTAGCCTCCCAAGCCTTAGCCCGGATGTGGGCACTGCATGTTTGTGCTGCAAGGATCGACCTCTTGAAGAACGAGAACAACAAGAAACGAGAGTACCTCGATCAGCTGTGCCCTTGGCTCTCCGCTGACATGCCAAGCAGCGCCAGATCTCAGCTACCACCGGTAAGTAGAGTCGGTACAGCAGGGTTGGTACTAGAATATAGTATGATGCTATATTGCTATACTAAGGTTATAGTCAGTTATAGTTATGGGTATAGGCTGGTACCCTTATTTGCAGCAGGAAGGGTGCATAAGGGAGGCAGGAACTTGGCTTTGTGTTTTGGCTCAGAGGGTCGTCTGCTTCTTTGGGCGACTCAGTTTTGCAATGGCGACGGGCGCTTACCCGCTGGACGAGCTCGGCGGAGGCTTCGAAGATGCTTCGGACGATGGGGTGGACTTCCCCCTTCCTGAAGGCGAGCTTTCCGTGAGTCGTGCTAGGATCAGGAATGTTGGCTCTGACTTATGATGATGAACGATGCCGATGGGGAAGACGATGAGGAGGTTGAACTATGCGATCGTTCTCGTTGAGACCCATCTTTACCCTCATGAACATAGTATCCGTTCTCCAGAAGTATTCTTAGCATGTGTTGGAGCCCCATGTCATGTCTGAGGTCCTCATCATCAAGAGCGGCAGCAGCAGTGCATTTGTCTACATCGATTGAATTTTCACGGCTTTTTTAGTTGGTGCGTGTCCTTCACTTGTCCGCTCTGCCGGCGGCCCTGTTCGGTCAGATGCGACAGAAGCAGAACCCTTTCTACATCAACCTTTATAGTAGCCAACCCTCAGAGACCGTTAATCAAACCTAGTAAACCACCATCCCATATAATAGTACCCTCACCAATCCTTCTAGAAAGCTTACATCAACCCTTATAGTGGCCCCTATTGCGACCGTTTAACTTAATTAGTAGAATTTCCCTTTAAAAATAGTACCCCTTACAGGTCTGTCTAGGAAGCTTGAGAGCCGCAGGTGTGCAGAAAGAGATCTTGAGCGAAGCTCCCACCTCCGAGTGGGCCAAGCCTCGCAGGGGCGATGAGGTCACGGTGCATTACACAGGGACGCTGGAGTCTGGGGAAGAGTTTCTAGGTAGGCCTTTAAGATATGTCGTTTTCCCTTATGGGGCTTAGGAGGGGATGAGTTCCTAGGTAGACTTTTAAGATACTTGATTTGCCTTTCTGGAGCTTAAGAGGATATCGTGGATATGAGTGGGCCAACCAAGGTTCGACTCCACCCGGGACAAAGAGCCCTACACCTTCATCCTAGGAGAAGAGGAAAAAGCAGTGAGAGCCTGGCAGTTCGGGATCCCAACAATGAGGAAAGGAGAAGTCGCCAAGTTTAAGGTGGCACCGGAGTTTGCTTACGGTTCCGATGGCGCAGAGAAGGTGCCCCCGAACTCTACTGTGACCTATGAGATCGAACTGGTCAAATGGATGCCGCGGGTCGACTTGCTTCTCTGCTCTTGTTACAGACTTACTTGAAATTGCGATAGCACGTCCACTGTACAGTTCTAGACAATAGTTATATACCTGGGACCTACATCGTTCATGTACATATATATATATACATACACATGCGTACCTATGCGCACAAACCTATCCATGCACCAAGTGTTCATAAGAAGCCAGGTTTTCAGATGGAACGATCATCAAGACGGTGGTCCTGGAGGGATCTGGCTGGAAGATGCCGAGGATGAGGGATGAAGTCTTCATCTCTCTGATGCTGGGCTTTTAGGGTTTAGGGTTTAGGGTTTAGTAATTTAGGGGTTTAGGGTTTAGGGCCCTTCCCGCAAAGCCCGTTATCCCTACTTCCGGGATATTTTTGCGCCTGACATAAAAACACGCCAAGGTTTAAGGTTTTTCCTTAATCGAAGGACCGGACCTGAGATAAGGACGCGCTGAAAGTAAGTCACCAGGCTCTAGGCAGATGAGAGAACAAGATGGCTTCCTTATCCTGGTAGCTTTACTCCCTTTCCTGAACAACGAACCCAGGAAAGTGGAGAAAACCGATGGGACAACTGTTTACGAAGAGAAGTCTCTCGAGTATGTCCTTGGCTCTGACCTCCTTGGACCTTGGTCCAAAGCCGTCGACCGCTCTCTCGTTTCCATGATGCTGGGCTAGTTATATGCAGGGCTACAGGGTTCACGATACTATTCCGTAGAGTTCCTCATGCAGGTATTTTGCAGTAACGTAGTAAACCCCCGAGCCCTATTCTACTAATTCAGGCCTAGATCACGAAGAAACATGGGGTAGGATTTCGCAGCGCCACCTAGCGTGTTCTGTTACATTTATGTGTAAGTCTATTTCGATCAGTAGGGTTAGAAGGACCTTGATTGCGAGCATTTTTGGACAAACCTTAATTACTTATTGAAGGGCCATCGGACTAAGAGATTGATCCTTGCGTTTAAAGACTTTGTGTTCAGGGTTGCTGAAGGCCTAGCCTAGCACCAGTCAAGATTCGCAAGTCCTTCCCGGAAACCACAATGACAGACGGGGGAGCACCTGATCACCCTTGAGCCTCTTCCGGCACATAGGTGCAAGCCCCACGCAGGTGTGGAGAGCTCATGTCAACCCGCAACTATCGTAGATCCTGAACCCTAAGCCTAAACCTCAGCAGCCAGGAAGAGGGACGAGATCGTCACGCTGCACTTCGCGAAGACTTTCGACTGCGGTGCAGATCCTGAGGAGTTGACTGGCACGCTCACCCTGCATCAAATCTACGAGACCAAGGATCCTTCAGAAAGGGTTTCGGGTCGACGGACGTATGGTTTGGGGTTGATGAGGGAATAAGTAGGCAATGTATTGGAAATTTCAGTGCTTCGGTTTGCGTATGCACGCGTGTGCTGCGTAGGTGAACGTTCTGCGAAAAGCCTACATATCCTTAACCGTGCTTGGTAAGGATTGAGTTGGTGGAACCTGTTCCATAACAAGCGCAGCCAGCTTGGATAACTCCTTCGAGCAACTAACCCTCAAGCCTAAAGCCCAAAAAACCCTTAAAACCGGGATATTTCCTGGAAGCCCTAAACCAGGGTATTTCCTAGAAGCTCTAAACCAGGATATTTCCTACAAGAAGGAGAAGACTCTACTGAAGAAGCAAGTGGTCGAAGGGCAGGGCTATGAGATGTGCAAGGACGCTTGGTGTGCGGATGGGTTGCTACTAGGGTTTAGAGGCTCAGAACCGGGTGTAGGGATTCATTCTAGGGCTTCGGGCTTAGGCTTTAGGGTTGAAGGTTTAGGGATCAGAGCCGATATAGGCTTGAGACTTCTGCGAACAAGCAGGGTAGCTGTGGGATTTCATCAGCAGGCTAACTTGATGCACACCATCCAGGCACCTGACCTGACTCTACACGGTCCAGCTTCGCCAAAACACCGCCCAAGTATAGAGAGAGCTGGTGGTTGGACTCCTTTCTAGCACATCTGGGGATGTTGTTCTCCAGACCTTAAGTCTTGACAGCACCCGACATCTAAATAAGACTGTTTCCCAAAGCTAAACCATGAACCCCCGAACCTTCCATGTTTTCCTCGAAGCTCCTATAGCATGCCTCACATTAGCCTGTAGAGTCACTGTAGAGTATTCCCCATGCCATAGTGGCCCGTACAGAAACTCTATAGAAGGCTTACTCAACTCCAAAGTTAGTCTTGCACCCCCCCTAAACCCTAAACCCTAACCCTAAACCCTTTTATAGTAACCCTATGGAACTTGCAACCTCTGGGCCCCCTGCAAGGATGGCAGCAGTGTGAAGCTTCGTGTGGAGGAGGCCATGGACTCCTCGAGGACGGCCATTCCATCTTTCCAGCCGCAGGCGGCTGGGGCTGGGATCCGGGCAGGGTCCCGACAAGACGAATAGGTACTATTTCTTGTTTTGAGGGTGGAGGGCGGGCGGGGTGGGGAGTTGGTTCAATGGATGACTACACGGCCATTGGAGCTGGACTTTTACGAGTGACAGGATTTTTTGCAGGGAGCTCAAGTGTTTCTTTTAGTTACAGGTACACATGCTTTTAAGTCACGTTTTCGTACAGAAGCAGGGACGACCACAAATTTCCGTCTAGAGTCACACCCGGCATCTACAATGCTCATCGTGGAAAAAAGCGATAGTCAGAACTGCATGGCCCATTCGATCGCCCGGTAGGCAGAGAGTGCTTTGGTACTTTTGTGCTCAACAATAAATCTGTAAATGCCAAGAAGAACCATCAGCTGCTGAACGGCAATGTCGGTCCATACCTTCATCCATCACATTGGCTTCGGAAGACACAAGAGAACCCGCGCATCGTGACATACTGCGAAGATGGATTGAATCCAAACCTTGTGTGGAATGCTTTCCACCCAGAAGGCTTGGGGGGCATCGATCTAGCACGCGTGAAGTCCTGTCGCAATTGCCAACCCGAGCCTAAGTGCCCATAAAACCCGAAACCGCCAACAGCCCTGAGGTTTTAGAGTTCGTGGCTGGTGAAGGCGAAGTTGCTGACGCATTGGAGCTTTGCGTTGCAGACATGAAGAAGGAAGAGAAGGCAAATTGGGAAGGGCTCAGTCCGGGCTTAGCTTTTGGATAGGGTTTGTTGTTCTAACTAACCAGGCAGGACGGACATCACCATGAATTGCCACTGCCATCGACAGAAATCTTGGTGCTAGGTACAAAAGACTCCCCGAACCACTTAAATCCTAGAAATTCCTGAACTCTGAAGCCGTCTGACCCAAACAAAAGCCTCATCTGCCGTTCCAACGTCATACAAACTCTGAAACCCCCAAGACCAACTCCCTCCGTAAACAGTTAAATGCCAGTCCGCAGTACAGGAAACCGTATCGACCCTAAAGACAAGATGTCTTAATCCCCCCTTTGCATAAAAATCCCATAGCCCTAACCCCCCTTAACTCCCTTCACCCTCAAGAAAGAAGCTAGTCCATTGTCTAAGAAGCCCAAATGATAAGCCCCCGAAAAATTCTTCCAAGAATCGTCAAGAATCATTATACATTATACATGTTCAACCCGCGAAAACATCATCCTCTTTGAAGATTCCCGTCCGAGGCCATTCTACGGGTGCTCTGCCCAGCGCAGGCAGCGGAGCCGCGCTTGGGTTTGGCGAACCTAGCGACCTGGACCTGGTTAACATCTCCAAGAAGGGTTTAGGGGTTTAGGGTTTAGAAGGTTTTGCTTTTTTGGGGTTATAGGTTTTGATGTCGGTTTCAGATGGATTTCGAAGGGTTGCGCAGGGTTCTCTAGAAGGCTGTGGAGTGTATGAGGTCTTATAGGCTGTTATAAAGGTCTCGATAAAGTGTTTTTTTATCATTCCATGGAATTTTGATGCTTTCCTTGTAGTATTCGTGTTTCGAGATACTACCATCGAAGACTTCCCTTCATAGTTGTTAAACTCTTGCTTTAGAGGCTCGTCGGAAGCCTTGGAGAGCTTTTCTGTTTATGCCTGGGCTGCTTTGAGCTTGTGCACATTGCGAGGTAGAAGCCCTTCTGCTGGACACTGCCCGTCTCTGTGATGTGCCCTGTAGTACCGTGTAGATACAGGATTATGTTGCAAGAAAAACATTTCGGAGTGCAGCCACCAAACAATCAACAGCAGCGACTGAGGATGTTGAGGAGCTGCTGCTGACGCTGGCAGGGGAGGGGAAGGGGACTGCCCGCACCATGTTCAATGGTGTAATGGCGCTCTAGATGGTTCGTCAGCTTGGTTGACCTTTCTGCCGAATTGGGTCTGGAATTCCCAAAGCCGTAAGATTGAAGCCTAAGAATTCAACTCTAAACCGTTTTGTTTTTACTCTGTGAATCTAGAGCGAGGCTTTTGAGAGATGGTGCGGCCTTCTTTCTGCACCGAGAAAGGAGCAACGAACTGCGAACCAGACACTTTAAGATGGATACTATACTGGGTGCCTTGATAATTAGAATAGGGCTTGGGGGTATATTATTACTAGAATTACAATAAGGAGCCCCCGAAACCCTATTCCCTAAACCCTAAA